TGACGCGTCTTCTGGAACAAGTTGATCGACAAGCTTGTAAAATATAATAATTAATTTTTCTCTCTTTTTTTTTTTGCAATCGATACTTTTGACAACGTAAAATTTCCTAATTTAAGATGTGAAATGGACGGATAAATGACGTCTTCTAGAACAAGTTGGAGAAGAACCGTTTCCATGTGAAATTAAAAATAAAAAGCTTGTAAAATATAACAATTAATTTTTCTCTCTTTTTTTCTTTTTGCAATTGCGCTCGATATTTTTGATTGTAAAATTTCTAAAATGGAGGGATCGATTTTATATTTCTGTCGCGATCTTTCTGAATATAAAATATCGTGTATTTATTCTTTTTATTTTTTCTGTTTCTGCCTCGATGTGCTAGGTTGTAAATCTAGAATTGATCGATTTCTTTGTATCTTTATCGATTCTTTTTTATTATTATTATTTTGTAAATAATTGGAATTTAAAAAAAACAAACACAAAATTCGAATATCTCGAGTGCTTCGATAAATCTACTTTATTCTACGTTTGCACGAAGAATTAAAAAACAAATTATGCTTTTCACTGTTTCAGCCATTTAATAAATGATTGGAAGGGAGGAGGGGATATATCGACTCGAATTTCGGTTCAATATTTACTATAAGAATAGCAACGAATAGCCGCGTCGTTCTTTCCAATAATATTACATAAACGATATATCTCTCGTTAACATCGTATCTCTCGTTTGATCGTATTATAACGAGAATCACGAGATTTGATTAATCTCATTTCCCTCTTATTTTTCAGATCAAAATCGAATTTCTCGTCGTTGGAGAATAAAATTTTTCGTTTCCCTCGCTCGATCATCTTTTACCTTTAATCATCGTAATAAACGTTCGAGAACATCGGTCGCGTGTCACGAATGCCACGAAGATCGAGAAGTTTAAAAGTTTGCAAATACAGGAGGGAACGTTGACTCTTCTTTCGAAATCCAATTCTGATCTGTGGATGTGTATTCCATTTCGCGGGCTTAAGGGAAACTCGGGAAAGGGAAGGAGGGAGAGATGGAAAACGACGTTGTGGGCGAACAGCGTGTAGTAACGCAAGGGGAGGGAGGGAGGAGGAGGGAAGCAGAGCGAGGAGGAAACACTCCGGGATCCAATTCGTCGTTTATTTAAATGGGGTCGCGTACGATTGAGCTCGTTTAAGTGCACACGATGCACTCACGGATTTACTGTTCACGTGTCTCACGCTCTCTGCCACGCTCTTCTGCATTTTCTTCTATTTTAGAACGCCACTCGATTTAGAACGAGGCGCTGTATTAATTTTTTTCCCTCGAGATATTTAAAAAAAAATATATATATATTATTTGCAATAATATATATATATATATATATTATTGCATTATAGTATTTGGAAAATTCAGAGATTGTTCCTCTTTTGGAAATTTTTATGAGGATAAAAGGATAAGACGAGAAATTTATTCAAAAGATCTTTGTCTTATCTCAATTGATCGTCGAAATATAAGAAAATGTATATAATTAAAATAGAAGATTCAAATTGGTGATCTATATTCTTTCAAGAATCGGATCTGGAAAGATAAGTTTTGGGATAAGTGAGACAAGGACGAAGATTAAAAATTATATCTTTCTCTTTGTCCAATGATGTCTCGAGATTATACTGATTATACCGGGGATAAATGAAAAAACGTTTTAAAGCGCAATGTTCCATAATTTTGATGATCGTTCATCCATTGGCAAGAAATCATTGTCCTCGCAATTGTAGCGAATTTAAATTTTTCTTAATTTTATAACAAAATATAGTGCAAAACATACGTAATATATTTGCAAACAAATAATCACGATTATTAAATAACGCAAGGATAAAAGATTATCTTCCCTATTTTTCAAATATTATAAATATATTATTATAAATTCCTCTAGATTTTCCTTATTTTTCAAATATATTTTATATTTGCCTTTCGAATATTAATACTCTCTAACAATCGAGTATCGAAGAGGAAAATAATTTTTTCACCATAAATTTTCCAGATGCCATTCACTACCTAATTGAGAAAATTCTCAGTCTCCAAAAAGAGAGAGAGAGAAAGAAAATACAACGAACTCGAGTAAAGTAAATGAATAAAATAAAAATTCGTTCGAATTCACTGACTCAGTGAACAGGTACAGATAGTAATACCACGAGTAATTGAAATCAACCGGAATTCCGGAATTCTTTCACAGTCGCCAATTTTCCGTTTTAATTATTTAAGTGG